ATCACGGAATTAAGAAGACATTGAGTCACCTACTACAAAGATTTTACTGGATAGGTATGAGGCGAGATGTGGAATAATGGTGCAGAACATGCAGTACATGTAGTGCTAAAAGGAGACCCAAGCATAAAGGACGCCCACCTTACGAAGAGTTGCCTGAGAATGTGTCAGAGTTTGTGAAAGTGTTATTGGAAAGAATGGATGATATTCACCATCAAGTGCGTTCGAATTTGAAAACGCCTGCTGATTCGATGAAGCTATCTTATGATAAGAGATCTACTGAAGTCAGCTTTGAACCAGGAGACAAGGTGTGGTTGTATAATCCCAGGAAGACCAAAGGGAAGTCTCCTAAGTTGTCTTCTCCATGGGAAGGCCCATATGACATAGTGGATCGTCTCTCAGACGTGACTTTCCGGATAAAATGTGGTCGGCGAGGTAAACCAAAAGTGTTGCATGCCAACAGGCTTTGGCATTATCACAGTCCAGGACATTTCAGTTGGGATAAAGTGAACAACAGAACAAATGATGCTGCTGCAGACGTGTCACCTGAAAAAGCCAACGTTGAAGAAGAAACTCTACTCAGTTTTGAGAAGAGAAATGGTGAAGCTCTTGATGAAGTTACTACCACTGATGTGACTGTTACCGACGATAGGACATTTCCTGATGAAGCAGATGAACCGCATATGAAGCAGAAGCCAATGAGACGGAGACCAGTACAGAAGAAGATACGTCTCATAAAATTAAGAGACTTTGTTGAATTGTAATTTTGTGTTTGTAATTCTGTACATTTAATTAAGTTATTGTTCATTGTTATTGGTTCATTGTAAGTGGCTATTGTTCGTGACGAACAATACTAAATAGGGGGCAGTGTTGCGTCAGCGAGGTCACGTAACTAGTATCACGTCCTTCTAGAAATATCCCGTTCCTTCATGAATGCTCTAGCGTTTACTAGATATGTGTTAGTCTTGTATATATAAGACGGTCACAACGTGATGGGAGAAAGTGTGTGTAATTGAACTGCAGAGAGAGAGAATATTGTTGAGCACGTGAGACGTTCGTTGAGAATTAAAGCGTTTGTTATAGCGCGACTGTTAAAATTAAGTGTATCGCAAAATTATATTCAGAAAGAATAAACCAGTTTTATTTAAGAAAGGACTTGTGTTGCTAAAGTTTCGTCGGAACGAAGTTACGGAAAATTATCTAACGAACGGAAACGTAACAATATGTTATGCAAAAACTGCATAGACTTAGCATAAGCGATTTTTTTCAAATTCTGCATTAAAATGAGAAGGTAGAAAGTGAACGGTATGCCTGTATCCCATTTGTGGTTGCAAAACAGAATGTCTAGGTCGTAAAAATTAAGTTCCTTTTGCCCTAGCTGCCTATTGTCCTGGGTTTTTTCACTTGTAGTATCATATACACTCTCTCGTGGGATAGATTTCTGTAAGATTGAACTTACTAAGTTGAAGTGGACAGTGATATTTTCCATAGGCAGGTTGGGGCGATACTTCATGGTTTCAACTTGGCTTACGATGGGAATGACCACCAGTCACATGGATATCGCACACTTCCTTAAAATAGTAGTATGATTATTTTGTGTATATAATGCTTTGTTTCTTAATATGGTATAGTTCTTCAGGTTTCAACCATTATTTATTAGACACAGTTCTCTGAAAATTCCTGAGAGATCCAATACACTCCAGTAAGGGCACCATCCTTACTAACCATATATTTTGATTGTTTTGGAATAACATTTGTTTTTCTTGTCCTTCTGTGTCAACTCTCTTTCTTTATTTATAACTCAATCAAAAGTCAAGAAATATAGTTTAAATTTCCCTACCATTTTCTATCAAGCTTGCTGTTATTCTGCTAAAGTTATTCAATTGTTCTAAAGTGTTACCTGAAAATACCAAAGGGGTATTAGTTGGAAAGTACATTTAATAAGCAAAGATCTCGCATCTAAATATTGAAATAGAATGTAGTTATTTGACAATAATACATTATGGCTTTTCAGTCTTACAAATAAACTTACCTTAACAGTAATAATGAACAGTTGATCCTTAATTAGACATGTATATATTTTTTCCTGCCCCCCAGTGGCACAGCGGTATGTCTGCGGACTTACAACGCTAGAATCCGGGTTTCGATACCCGTGGTGAGCAGAGCACAGATAGCCCATTGTGTAGCTTTGTGCTTAATTACAACTAAACAAGCATTTTTTCCCAATTAACTCCATAAGCCCGAGGGACGCTGCCAGCGTTCGGCCGAAAATCCCGATTTACTCATCGGATGGTAATAGACATTCATGTCTCTTTGGCTGAACACTAATCCAAACTATGTTATTATCCTCCTTATATAAATAGACCGGAAATATTATATGGTAATAACTATTAGGACATCATGAAAATAATTCCAGCAAGACGCGCATACAAATATGGATTTAAATAGTTATTTTTTGTTGAATATAGTGTTTAATTCACCAATACCTCTTCTTTAAATTCAAATTGTAACAATGATTTTTTTTTCTGTGATTAATTTTCCAGAGAGTGAAAAACCGATCCCACAATTCTTTGCAAGATCAAATGTGGTGTGACACTTAGGTTCATACTCTTATTTTGAGTAGTCGAGTAAATGTTGTATGTCGGTTTTCAGATTTTTGTACATGGGTAATGGTATTTGGACAGCAAATTATATTGTTGGAGTACCCAAAGAACTTTGGAACCCATGAAAAAATCTCATGTCCATTTATAGTGTGTTACATAAATATATTTTTTCCAGTGTAAATTAATTCACCGTGCAGCCAACTATTGAACTATGACTATGCCCATTTTGAGTTTATTAGTGACGTTATAATTGTTAGTATTAATCTTAAAGTATTAGAAACAATTTTATTGTTTCAAAAATCATAAAAGTCAACATCGTGGAAAGTTGTAATAAAAATAAGCCAACAACAGTATAAGAAATTATAACTTATGCAGAGTTACATTCAGTCAATGTGAAAATGAAGAAGCAGTTTCTTAGAGTCAAACAGATTGCAGATCAGACCTTTCTCCGGTAAGTTTTAGTCGATAGCTTTAAAAATTAAATAATTGAAAAGTTCTCTGATTTTTTCTTACGTGTTAAAATGCGTAAAATGGACTTGTGTTTATAGACCTAGATTACTTGTAGCCTTTACAAACTGTTAGTGTTAGTGAGTGATATTGTTACTAATGTTTGCATCTTACCCAGAATTCTAACTGGTTATGTTCTTAATCATTTAATGTTTTAACTTAACTGTTAACAGTGTTGTTACTTCTCTGTTCTAAGTGCTAAACTCAGACTCAATTAAACTGTTTATTCTTTAAACTATTAGCATTTATAAAATGTGATACTTCTTTCAAGCAGAAGACAATACTAATAGTAATAGTAATATCCTGTTAACAGTAACAGTGTTACAATAAGGATTTGAGAAGGCTATTTTTTATCAGCACTTAACTGATCAATGTTTGAAACTGCTACAGACAGAAGGGAAAAAAATGTTGCATTTACTTTAGGTGAATTATATTATTACTACTACTGGTACTAGTAGATTTGTAGTTAAATACACATCATAAGACGTTAATGTCTCGTAAGCCATGCCGATTGACATGGTAGTTTTTGTTGATGAGTGGTGTCACATTTTCGCCAGTTGAAATGAAATTAATATACAATCTACGGTCTAGGCTATGTGTCAGGTAAGTGACAAAAATTAACAAAAGCAGATCTATAACTTGAATTTTGCACTATAGGCTTTAGACACTTTTTTTTTTCTCCTTAACTTGCAGTAATTGTATCTGTATGTGTGTGGTGTGTGGCTGCTTTGTATTTCTAGTGAGTAGAATTTTTAGCCATGGTATAGCAGCTTATAGAATGGCTTAATTTTTTTCAAGTACAAACTTATAGATCATATCGCTATCTTTTGACCATTTTGAAATCTAATTACAGTCACGTTGAGGAATCCCTCTTGTTTGATTTAAAATATGAAGAAAATGATAAGTTGTTTTGGACACAAACTTTAGTCCATTTAGTTAAAGATTTAGTAATAGAAGAAGGGAAGAGTTGAAGTTTTCTGTCCGTTTTGTTAACTTCTCATACAAAACAACAAAAACTAATAACTAAAAAGCTGCTTCCACATAATTTTTAAACCATCTTAAAGTTAGCTCCACAAATCTGTGTTTAACACAATCTTTAAGGAATCAGGTTCCCTCTAATTCTTCTGTACTAAAGAGAAAGTAAGGCCTAAACTATAAGCTTGTAGCATTAATTTTTTAAAATGACAATCTAGAACTTTATTTTTTTTTCACCACAACTAATAACAGTCTGAATATTAGTTTTTTGAACAAATGTATCAAAACCTTTCTCTCTTTTCACTGTGCCAATGCTTTTTTCAGAATCAGAAATGAGTGTTTTTTTTGGTTTTTTTCCAAATTTAAGTTCCCAAGTACAAAACTTTATGCTTTTCAAAATTAAAACAGAATTATATAAAGTAAGTTAGAAATATATATTATAAATTATAGATACAGGAAGTGATAGTTGTAAACAAATTTGGTAAAACCTTTCATGTATATTTTTTTTTGTTTATTTTTAATTAGAGAATTGTAATGTTCCTCAATTTCTCTGTAAACATAATGCCTCATCCAAAGAGTAATTTTTATTGTTCTTACATACCAATTTTCTGTGTGTTTTTGATTTGATCTAACTGTTTTTTCCCTGTATTTCTTATATTGCTGTTTGCTTAGACTCACTTTGGTACTATTTTCCATATTTTTGTTTGCTTGCTTGTTATCTCATTGTTAGTTGTACTGTAATATGTACATATATTTGTTTTTCATTCCTCCCTCTCTTTATATTATGTTGGGGTATTCCTATCTATTGTGTAGGGGTATGGATTTTTTGTTTTTGTTTAAAAGTTTAGGATATTTATTGTTTTTTGTGTGCATCAAAAGTAAGTAAAGCCAAAAAAAGTAACGTTAAATACTGAATTAAAATTGAATCATTCAAAACAAAAACTCAAAGAATTTTAAAAGTTAAAATCATTAAGTACATAATTATTCTGGTAAATTAGGGAGAATAATGAAGTTGAAACAAAAATAGCTATTTGAAAATGAAACCACAAAATAATGACTAACTCATAAAGAAACATTAATACATAAACTGAGTAAGTGATACTGAAATAATGAAACCAAACCATAAAGAAAATCAAGGAATATATACATGTAGAGAGTAATGTAGAAGTAATATTTAGACACGGAGTTACCAGAGAAGTTCTAATTTCCTGAAAATGTTATGATTTCTGTGTGGAAAAGCACAAGATGTCAAACATTTTATGTAAGTCATCTGAATGATGACATGTCTTCTAAAAATGGCATTAGAAGACAAACGTTAAAAGGGATAGAAAAAAAGAGAAACAAAAGCTGATAAAAAATTGACCCTTACCAAGAAAGGCAAGTTAAATCAATAACAAAGAAACATGTCTAGACAAGCAATATTCAGGAAATATTAAAAAAAAATGTATAGAAAGATACACAATTGAGAAAAGTTGCATTAAATTTGTTTGGTTGTTGTGAACTTGTTTTTAAATGATGCATCCTCTTTGTTTTGGCTTCTGTATCTAAGTAAGGATATTAACATACTGGAAAGGGTTCAGAGGAGGGCTACTAAGATGATTCAGAAGATGGAAGGGATATATTATGTGTATAAGGTAATATATCTTTTGTTTTCTTTTGAGAAAGAAAGGTAAGAGGTGATCTGATTAAAATTCAGCATCACATTGATCCAGGAAATGCACCATTTTGTTTCATTGAATAAAATATTTTCTGGAGGATCATGCCCCCTCCCCACCCCTAAAAGGTGATTGCCGCAGGTGTTCATAGCAATTTACCACACGTTAAAATTTAACTTTTAGAATAGTCTCACTCACACAGATTCTTGAAAGTTGGAAGCCCTAAAATATGTATAGATAAATTTATATAGATCAGTATAGTTAAGTATACATAGCTACATTAAGCTTCCTGCTTACTTGCTGCATTTAATTACCTTGATATAGTATGACTGCTCAGTATCATAGAGAGAAAATGAGTTTCGTATTTTGTAGTATCTAAACATTTCTCGGCACTAATACCCCGAGAAACATGAAAAAAAATTGTATTTACCTACACAGTTGATAATATTTATTAACTTGAACACTGAATAACTTATTATTTCATCATGTTTAATTGTGTTTTGAGATTCATCCCCATTTATTTATTCACTTTGTGGGTTCTTACATTTTTAAGTCGGGTTGGCATTAAAGAAAGTGCAATTAGTAAAAAAATAATGTATCTATCTGAACTTTAGTTATCTATGAAGGATACATACAGACACACAAGGTGTGTAAATAAAAGGTGCATTTAAAACAATACTGAAGACAAAATAATTAAATAAGGGCAGTACACTGTTATTAAAACTCAAAATTTGTTTATTTTTGGATATAATATTTATGGTTACAATGTTGTACCTGACGATGCCAGGTTAACCTGGTGAAACATTGTAACCAGAGAGGTATGTACTCTGTATATCCAAAAATAAACAAATTTTAAAATATTGAAGACAGTTTTAAGTAAGTAGTATTTTCAGCATAGGTTTGATCTTTTCAAGCCATGTACAGTGATATGAAATGTATGTCACCTAGAATTACTTTTGGTAGAGTCAAAATAGGGATTTGTACTAGCTTGCTGATAAGGTCCATGATGATGTACTGTAGCTATTGACTATTTGATCCCATTAGTTCAAGATGTAAAATGTTAAGCTGCAGCTTTAGATTTGTTTGCTAATATAGTGAGCATTTACAGTTTCTGTGTTATTAAATTATTTATATATATATATATATATAATGCATATAAATGGGCAAATATATGCCTGGACTTAGACACAACCCCCATAAAGTGCGTATAAAATTTTACCAGTAGAAAACTAGGTTTTTCAAATAAAACATATATCTAAAACATCGCTTTAAATAAGTCATGTTTTTTAATGTGTGGAATAAAATTTAATATCATGTGTATTGATTTTTGTTTTACTCCTTCACCTCGTATATAATATATGGATTGACTCCATAAAGACAACGATTGTATAGTGTACAAAGCATTGAGTATGTGCGCGTTACAGTCATCTAATGTTTATCTGTTATTAGCTGGTAATTAAACACCCCTACGACCTTTGCAGTATCTTATTTGGTATTCTACAAAAGGTTTGGGTGCCATATACCAAGCCATTTTTGTTGTAGGCTGACACAAGAATAATAATAGAAAGAAGAAGAATTATAAATGGGCCGTTTTGAGCAGATTTTCTTTTCCTCATAAGTCTAACACGGTGTTTTTTGTGCATTTTATATTTGTACAATCTTAGCAGTCAATAGTTAAGGTTTTAAAGTATTAAACTGAATCTTCACTGTTTAAGGTGCTTTTTACCAGAACGTTCTATTTGGGTTTTGTGCAATTCCTTGCGATCACTATTACGAACCATCATGATTGCAATTGTTGCTCCATCTTATCCTATTCTTTTCTGATGTTGTTTTTTAATTGACTTAATCCCTTTACTATGTATTTTAATTCCTCTCCACAAAATGTTAGAAATTTAGAAAACTTTTGTATCTAATATTTCAGCTTGTTTAATATAGCTTACTGAAGATGGAATATATACATTCCATATCAAATGTTTGTTGCCGTCGTACTATTTATCACAATTAAACTTCGATTCCCATATAAAAATTGTACTGCTTTATTATTGTTTTTTAACAACAGCATGCACATAATAGCGGCGGAATTTATGGTTGTTCATATTAGCATGGTCACAAACAACTTATCAAAAAAACTCGAACAAAAGTATTACGAAATCACTTGTTCTTTTCTAAGAGGTCGTTTCAACCGTGAAATTATGACATACTCTTTCGCTGAAACGTTTCTATTGGCCGAGACAAAAGTTTTTCGTTCTAACTTTTTAGAAAGGACGATGCGAGACTTGTATTTTTATTTACGATACGCGTTGAGAGGGATTTA